AGGAAGCCTCCATAGCCTGAACCTGGGGGCCCACCATACTAGATTTGGTCTTCAGTTTGGGAACTGGATTTAAGGTTTTAGACTGGACAGAGAATCACATCCTAGAAGCTGTTCCTCATGCTGGTGTGTGTTCACCTCAATAACTCATTCTTTAATTTTCAGTCCACCAGACTTCAGCAGAGGGCTTTGCCTCTGCTAACAACACCAGCTTTTTTCATCCCTCTTCTGCCAAGGAGCTGCCCCTGTGCCCAGAAACGGACCAGCCCATGCAGATTCCCCAGCACTTTACCTCTAATGGAAATTTAGGATTCCTGAGCTGTGAGAACGGTTCTTCCCACCATACCTGGAGCTCCTTGATCTTCTTCTGCAGCTGGGCCTCAGTCACTTGCCCATCTTCAATCCTTGAATTCAGTTGACTTAATTCAAAGTCTTTCCTGCAGAGAAAGAAGGCAGAGCCTTTGGTCAGACAAATGCTGTCCTGCCGAGTCCATCTGGCTCCTGAAGTCAGAGGAAGATTGTTCCTCACATCCAGGTCCAGAGGACAAACAAACCAACCCACATAGGAAAGGGAGTGCAGGGGTAAGAAGCAGCACATGGGCTGCTTGGAGGGAGCTTAAAGTGGACTCTGGCTTTGAAGTTTTCCCTGTGAAGTCCCTTGGTGTTGTTCTCCACTTCCCCAATGAGAATGGGACATGAGTGACAAAGTCTGTACTTGTAGCTGACAACCCAGCTCTGCGTTAGGATCCCACCAGGCAGGTCTCTCCTCTCCAACCCCACGTGCAGAGGAAGCTCTATAGCACCCTGAGCTATTTGTCTGTGCAGCTCACAAGCTCCTCAGCATCTCTGCATAGTGCCCAGGAAAACCAACCCACATTTCACCTGGACTGATTCCACCAGCAGCGCTCAAAGCCACATCCCAACAGCCCCTGCAGAGGCCACATGTCCACTTGATGTCGAGGTGGGCACTGTCCTAGCAGAGTAAGCACACTGCCCAGGCACATATCACACACTCACTTCTTGAGTTTCTCCTCCAGCTGCTGTTTGTCATTCTCCAGATCCATTACGGACTCTTGTGTCAACTTCAAGTCTCCTTCAAGCTTCCTCTTTGCTCTTTCCAGGTCCATGCGGACTTTCTTTTCTTGTTCAAGAGAGCTTTCCAGCTGGAGAATGAAGGGAGACAGGCTAGGGAGGGAAAGGATCCTCTCTAGCCCCAACTTTCCCCATGTCCATTGCTATGGGAATTTCAACCAGCCCTGAGATCCAGAGCTGTTTCTTAACTGGTTTCCAGTCCCATTCCCTCTGCCTGGGACTGCTCTCCATGGGGTACTCTGGACCACCTCTTGGTTCAGAGGCAGTTTGTCAATAGGGTTGGTAATCAGCTGGCATTATTAACCTAGGATCTGATAATGATCCCACCCTCAACAGACTGTTCAGGGACAGCCTCTGGGCTCTCCTGGAGGTTGGCTCACACTTCTCACTTCACTGTCATTGGATCACTCACATCATCCACTTGCTGCTCCAGTTTGACCTTGGCTTTAGTCAGTGTGTTGACCTTGTCTTCCTCAGCCTGTAGGTCATCCAGAGCCTGCTGATGGGCCTCTTGCAGTGCTTTCTTCTCTTTCGTCAGCTTGGCAATGATCTCATCCAGAGCAGCCATCTCTTCAATCAGGTTTTTAACCTAGATCAGTGGTGTCAAAAATTCAGCGCATCTTCTCAGAAACAGGGGAAGAGAAGCTCATACAGCAGCCTGACCCATGGAGTTCATTATCAACAGCACCTTGGCCCTGCAGCAGCAGCCAGCCAGCCTTTCTCTCCTCAGCCAGGCTGGTTCCACCAGGTGGTTTGCCAATGCCCCAAATCACTTGCCAATGCACAGAACCGTTTGCCCATACCACTCCTGCGCAGTGAGGCAGGACACCAGGGGGGGGTTTGTCCTCTCCCACACCTCCCATACCACTCTGCTTTGACCCAGCTCCCACACACCAGCAGCCTTGTCCCTGATGTTTCTCTTCGGTGCCCCTACAAGCACCAAGGCCCCTGGGCAAGGAAGCTGTAGCCTGCCAGGGAGGGTCAGTTACCTTGTTCTCTGTGGCGTGCTTCTCCTTCTCCACCTTGGCCAGCGTGATTTCTAAGTCATCGATGTCCTTCTTCAGCTCTGCACATTCATCCTCCAGCTTGCGTCTTTTGGCGGTGAGGTCTGCATTCATCTCCTCCTCATCCTCCAGACGTTCCATCAGCTCCTTCACCTTGGCTTCCAGCTGGATCTTGGACTTGATCAGCAGGTCACAGCGTTCCTCTGCATCTGCCAGGTTGTCTTGTTCCTGGGACAGGCAGAGGAGAGCTGGTGCTCATGCACTGCCCCAGGAGCGTACCAGAAGGCTCTCAGCCATGCTGTCCTGGCCCAGAGCAGAAGCTCTCTTTGTGGAAGGAGCAGAGCAAGCCCAAGGTGCTCAGGTGCACAAAAAAAGACACCTCCAGTCACTGCCCATTTTCAAGGGCCACGGGACAACAACAAACACAAACCAGGGCAAACAACCCAACTGCAGCTAAATTTTCCAGAGGAAGGAAACACTGGACTGACACTTCCTGGTACAGAAATGGCACAGATTGGCCACAGCTTGGTGAACAAACATTCCCATCCCTCCCACTCCAGTGTGAGGAGATCACCCTTTCCAGAGCCAGGGGAGCAGAATGCCCATGGCAGCCCTGAGATGGCAAATCTGTGACATTGCTTCAGGTTTGCACGGACTCTAACGCTGCAGTTCAAACAGATTATGGCAACCAGGGGGACTCAGAACTGCAAAAGGCTGAAAGAAGGACCTAGCATGCTCTACTCCTTCTTCTACCCATGGATCCTGCACTACCTTTACAATCCCAGAGAGAGGATGAAGCAACTCACTGCCTGCAGCTGGAGAGCCAGGTCATTCTTCTCTTGGATCATGGAGACCTGCTTCTCTTCCAGCTCTTTCCTCTTAGCCTCGGACTTCTCCAGAGCCTCTTTCAGCTTCTGGAACTCCTCCTTCAGGTTGGACATTTCCTTCTCAGTCTGAGCAGACTTGAGTAAAGGCTTGATCTTGAAGAACAGCTTCATCCATGACCAGTTCTTGACAGCATTGAAAGCTCGGATGTTCCACTGAATGGTATAGAGGGCTTCCCTGGAGGGATACAAGCACAGTATCATTATGGGTGTAGATTCCCCACCTCCCCATCCTCACTGCAGCAGAGATGAGGCTTTTTCAGACATGGGCATGGCTCTGTTCATCAGGAGGCCCAATGGCAGTATGTTGGATGAACAGCACATTCTCTGCTCAGTGTAGTGGTCCTAGTGGGTGACGTGGTCTGGCTGTCACATCTCCTCACTCTACATCCCTCTGAATCTTCCAGTGGAAACCAAAGGCTCCCCCCACGTAGATACACTGATCCTTCCCACCAGGCTCTTCTTACAGGTCTGCCTCCATCCCTTCCGGACAGGGCCTTACCCAACCACTGCCAGCCATAGGCAAGTCCTACAGGTCAAACCCACTGAAATGTGCAGGAGGAACAAGGTGAGATGCTCACAAAGTTCTGCCTCCCCCCACATCTACCTCCTGCTGATGATCTTTTGATACTCAATGCGCATGAGGTGCCCACGGATTCTGGCCTGCAGCATGGTCAGGATCTTGGCCAGACGCTCATCTCTCATCTCTTCCAGCATGCCCAGCAAACCAGCCTTGAAAAACACCTGCAAGCAAGAGAGTGAGAAGAGAGTCACCAGGTTTAGGTGCCCTCCCTGCACGGGCACACACCCACACTCTGCACTGGCTGGAGCTGCCCCACACAAGGCACAGGCACAGCTGGGCACCAAATCTCCCTGGCCTGCACACATCCCCTTGCATCCCCAGCAGGAACTCAATGTTGTATTGGGTGGTACAAGATCAGGCAGCAGTGATCTTCTGCTCAGACCTGTTTCTTCCCAACCTGAATCTTCCTCTGCCCTCCTCAGTCTTTTCAAGTGCCACACTCAACCTGCAGAGCGCAGGGCTTCAGCAGGGCTGTGGCCAGGCAGAGAGCAAACTGGGCACAGAGAGCAAACTGGGATTGCAGAGACTGGAGGGGCAACCTCCCCCTCCCAAGAACCAGCTGCCTGGTCTCACCTTGGTATGACCAAACTTGTACTGCGAGTGGTCCAGTTCCAGGGAGCTCAGCAGCTTCTCTGTGGCCTTTCTGCTGTCCACAAACTTGTCATCTGGAATGGCTGCTGGATTCAGGATACGGTAGCTGCAGGGACAAAGCAGAGGGAGGACATGCATGAGAAGCCCAGCACAGAGTTGATGGCTCCATCATCATCCCTGTACCGCAGTCATGCCACTTTCCCCTGGAAGCACATTGCTGCAGCACAGGCTGGAGCCATGGATAAACCAGGAGCTCCAGGGCACAGCATGGGCTCTTCTGCAGAGCAGACACCAGGGAACTCGGCCAGATCTTCATCTCTGAACACAAGGAAGATTGTGCAGGAGGAGGCCACTGGCCTCACCATGTCTGGTCATGCCCAGGCCAAGCAGGGTGGATGGGGCCATCCTGGAGAATGGTAAGGATGCCAAGGGCAGAGATAAATCTGAGCAAGGATTGGAGGACCTGAGCCTTGTCACCTACACCAGCCCTGCATTCAGCATCTCCAACATCACCAGCTCTGCTGTCTCCTCACATCTGGCACCAGACTCTCCATGCCTGACTCCACAGAGCCAGCAGCAGAGCTATCCCAAACCGGGCACACCCTGGGCATATCGTGGTGCTTCAGACCAGCACTGCACAAGCTGGAGAACAGGGCAGAGCCAGGGGGGTCTCTCTCCTCTCAGAACACGTGATGGCTGCTGGGCAAGGGAGAAGAGGGAGTTACCGCTGCTTGAAGTCTGCGTAGAGGATCCTGTTGGGGAATCCCTTACGGCAGATGCGGATACCTTCAAGGACTCCATTACACCGCAGCTGGTGCAGCACCAGGAAGGAATCCATGGCTCCTGTGGGTGAGAACAAAGAGGGAGCAGATAGTCAGCCCAAGAGGACAGGGGAAGTCAATCTGCAGCCTAGGCCCAAACTCTGGAGACAGCCCGTGGTTTTGAACACAGATGTTAAGCTGTCCTGTGGGCCTGTGCTGAGCACCAGCACTGCAGCCCAGGCCTTGGATGGTGGAAGTTGACCCAAAACCCTCATCCATGCTGCTGGGATACACAAGTGCAAGGCAGCCCAACCACCAGTGCACGGCCAAAATGGGAGCCTGGCAAAACTCCTTCATAGAATCATGGAATCACAGAATGTTGTGAGCT